AAAATGATGGCCTGTGTTACAGGATCACGTTCTCCACTAATATAAGAAAGTAAACAAAAGGTTTTAAACATACTGCAAATTTCTTATACATATGATAAGAATACAGAATATCAGTACCTCCCCTGAGAGCTTGTAGATAAAAAATTTGTATTGCACACATGATCGAGTTATTTCAGCCTGCAAAAACACTGCAGCATTGTCTTGTACTTGGCAAAAAACATTCACAGAACTGTCAATGCTTTCAAAAGAGTCCTCAGTACTTAGTATATTATGACTCTCCAGTTTTCCATCTTCAGGTAGAAGCCGTAGTAAGTTACTATAGAACTCCAGATTTGCACTAAAGCCCACAAGTCAAGCACGGTATTTCAGAATCTACCAAAATCAAGATGAACCAGAGGACAGATCCTCACAAGACTGCAAAACAAACCAAAATAACACCACTTGGGCGTCTAGCTCTGTGTCTAGGTCTTTGTCGCAGACAAAAGCACAAGTTTGTCTTCTTCCACTTGATGGTTTAGATACTATCAGTATCATGGTTATGTGTTCACCAAAAAGGCTGCATGTTTTTTTTTCTGAAAAGTAGCGGCTTTAAATTCTATTCTAACGTAAAAAGATATATTTTGCATCTCAACTAAATTATTAAAGAAGACCATCCGAAAGGACTACAAAGTATACTATCTGATGTATACTACACCAAAGCACCATTTATGAGCATACTTTGTAGTCATATAGCTTAATGATGAATGTTCAGTACATTTGATGGAAACTGAGGCATAAGCTTCTGGATTCTCTCACAGTAGCTACTCCTTTTATGAATTATGCCATAGCAATAAATACACTCAAAGGACAAAAAAATCCCACCAGTTTTAAGTATTTCTGTATACAGGAAAGAATACTTTCACATTCTACTTGTCTCATATTATACTTAATACACTCCAAATATCAGAATTTTGGTAACCACTTTGATAACCTTTTAATAACACTTTTCATAAATACAGCATGAAGTAAAGACTGGAAAAACTCATCATACTTTAATTTAGAAGCATTCACATGTTGAGAGATGAGGCAGCCAACATTTAATTGATTCCAAGATCAGTACTACAGAGTATATATAGATGCTATTCGTAAGTGCTAAAAAGGAGTTAGGCATCTAAAAATCACAATTTCAGGGGTGAATACTAACCTTTAAAGAAAGCCCTTCTCCCCATACCTAGATAACATATATCATCCTCTTGTTATGCAAAGTTGTAAACAGGTATTTTCACTGCTAGATGGAAGTGAAATTTTAAAAACATAAATAGTAACACTGAATGAAAAGCACTTATGACTTCTTTCAAGGACCAGAGATAAGTGCTTTCCCATCAAAAACTTCTGTGAATAGAATCATACATTCCTTGAGGCAGAGATAAATAATAATTGCTGCCAAGATTCATTACACTGTAATTTCTCTCTGTGGTAAAGAAGCCAATTTTGCATTCTGGTTTCATACAGAAATTAATTTTTACCTTTTGTAACAAAATGTCTCAGCTTTTGTGAATTGTTAAAGCTTAAACACAATAGTCAACTCTTGCTTCTAATTACACATTTTCTGGTCTAAAAAGAATGGTAATGTTGCAGAGGAGAAGAAAAGAAACTTCATCTATCATTCATTAAAGTTCCTGTTCAGGTAGCAAAGAAGAAAAACAGAAAAAAACCCCAAAGATTGCTTCTAAAGGTACCTGGAAAAGAGGCACTGGTCACAACACAAAAACCCCAAGCTCATACAGGATCAGAGTATTCTCTATTTCTATCTAGCTTAAACCAAATTTTAATGTAGTGACATTACATTTTCAAATCATGTACCTAAGTTGCAGAACTCCAAACTTTGCACTTAACAGCTAATAGATATGAAAGTAACTTTTAAGTTCACACATGTTCAAATCAGAGACCCCTGTGTTGGCAGATTTGCTGTTTGGGTGTTCCGGCACCTTTGTCTCATAAAACCTGACTCCAGGCATGATCTTAGGCCAGGTTTACTGTCTACAAGGTACGCTGCCACCATGCTTTTCCCAACATGGTATTTCTTACAAATCTATGACAAGCTTTTGGTATGCAAACATGAACTAAAGACCAGTACAAAGCCTACATAGTTTCCAGTTCCCTGCTGTTTTTCCCATTAGACAAATACACACAAGGTGTTCTCGTCTGGATTTTCATTTTCCAACCCTACCACAGGGCAGCTAGCCACCCTATGTGTGGCTTCATAAAGTCTCCTTTCTTTAGTTTTACTTGTCTGTCTCCAGAAATATAAGCACATTCTCACGCATGTAGCTGTGCTGCAATTTTTATTTACTTTGACAAACACTTTAGTAAATTATTTATGCAAGTGTGCTTTCTAATAAGCCTTCCAGCAAAGCCTGCACTGACGTACATGCATAATTTTTCACATAAAAAAACGAGTTGCACAGACATCCAAAACTGTAATTCCCAATTACAAATCAGTAGAAATTTTAAGTTTTAGTGTTGCTATATTTTACTCTGGTGTGTCCAGAACGTGATAATGCAGGCAGGCAAGACTGCATCCACATGCAAGAAATGATCCTATCCCTGCTTGAAAAGGCATTATCACTGTCTCCTGAATCTCATGTTGGATCACTGAAAAGATTAGTATCAAGAGTCCTTTCAAAGAAATCTCCTCCCAGATATCTCAGTGGTTCATAAAGCTCTGCCAGGAAGCACTCTCACAGTGTTTATAATCACCACTGCATGTGACAGGTATCAAAATGCATGCAGACTCTTTCAATCGCCATTCTCTACTGTTTGGAAACCCACATGGTGAGAAGACTCAGATGACCTTTTTGACATCTTCCACATAGGAGAGGATTTGGAGGATGTTGTCAAAAATGTTGATCATGACTCTGCTCACAATGAACTTACTCATCCCAAACTGGTCATTGTGCAATGGAAATCTAGGGTTACAAAACTCCAGTGGATGAAAGTTATTCTCTCAAACAAAACTGTAGGCTTATCTATTTCATCTAGCTATATGGTTCCATGGAACATCTATGTGGCTCTGCTAAACCAGATTTGTTTCCCACAGTCCAGAACCCCTGGCTAATCTGAGACTAAACAGATGCAATGACGAAGACTCTCATAAATTCATTAGCCCCATCTTTTTCCTCATGAGACATCCAGAAGATTAAAATTTCTTCTGGAGTATCTTCCAGGAACACTTGTCCTAGACACATAGTCCATTCTCTCCATATTGTGCCCTTCTCTGATAAAAAACTTGAAGGCACTAGTGTTCACTTCGTAGACGAGTAGGAACAAAATAAGCAGAAATCAGAAACAAGGCTTCCTTCCTTGTCTGAGACCTTGTTTAATTCAAAGGCAGAAGCAACCTGCTACTGTTATGCATGCGGACTACAACATCGGGTTTAGAAAGGAGTCCACTGGGAGTTCACAGTCCAAAAATCAAAGTACTGTGAGATAGCTTTCTTCTGGACAGTTTCAAAGCTCAGGCCTAATGGGATGTCAAATCCAGGGAACAAGACTAGATCAAATCCAAAGCACAACCCCTAAAGCATGATAAGAATAGCTACAGCAAACTCAGCAACAACTGCTTTCATCTATTCACCTGCTTCTTTTGTGATTCACTTATTAATAAAGACAAAACCTAAAACTACATGAAAAAATGTACACGTATTCAAAAGTACTTAAAACCAAAAAATAATAAATGCAAACACAAAGGCAGTTCATGTCATTGTGAAAAGTAATTATAACTTCATAGTGCTACTCAGGTCCATTATAAACCCTTGTTGCATGCAAAATTGTCTCGAGTTGGAGAATATCAATGAAATTTATTGCCCATTACAAAGGCTTTAATTACTAATGCAGGTATTGAGAAACACGACAAATAGTCAAGCACCCATCCAAAGAAAACACTTTTTATCCCTCTTTGTCCCAGCTTCGCGTTAGGCACCTCTTTTTCCTCATTTCTAGCCCCCAGTCTCCTTGCATTTGCCACTAGGTTACACTCATCCCTTTGGTACGGTGCTGCAAGAGAGTGGTCTTAAGTGTATAGTGGTTTGCTCTTTTTGACTCTTCTTGTTTCTTACTCTTTTCAAATGCTTTAGTATGGATCCTCCACCAGATAAAATACTCTTGGGGATTGTACCTGTCCAGCACAGATTCTTCCATAGGTTGCAGCCCCTTTAGAGATGTACCATCTCCTGTGTTTTCTTTTGCATGTCCTCATGTATCTCCTGTGTTTCCCTCACGCCTAATTTGTCTCCCCTGTATCGCCATTTCTGCATCATTTTGTGTCTCTTGCATCACCTTCGTGACTCCTGCTGTGTCTTCTTTCATGCCTCCTATCTCTCTTCCTGTATCTCCACTTGTGCCTTCTGACATGTTTTCCTTTGTGTTTCTCCTCTGCTGTGGTCTCTCCTGTCCCCACTAGATACAGACCTCTCTTCAGTATGTTTTCTTGGAGGTCCCATATGCCGTTTTGTTTTGCTCCAGTTTCAGTTGTGCAGTGGCTCTGTACTGTCCTTTGCAGAGCTGGCTTGAAACAGCTGTGCCCAGGACACAAAAGACCACGATCTCCCACAGAGGTCAGCCCTGCAGCTCTCTACACTATAAAACCCCTGCCATTTATGCCACATACAAGTTTAAAGGTGAATAGGGAAAAAAACCCCAAACAAACAAAAGAGAGAGAACATGCTGAAGCTCAACCATAATGATCTATGAAATAAATCATATTTCTGAATTGTCTGAATGGCAATGGCACTAGCAAAAAACATCCCTTGTATCAATACTTGATAAACAAAAGTTTTATATGATTACTCTTTTCTAAAGAGCTGCTTATGGGTGCATTAATATTAGCAAGAGACATATTAACTTCTGAAGATCAGATCTTATGACAATATATATACGTTTTGTTACATATACCAGTCCCAGAATATGAACTTTGGCTGAGAAGATTATGTAGTTCTGCAAATTAATTAAATTTGACTTACCAAAACAGAATCAAGTTTTTGTTTCACCTTCTGCATTCTCATTGATGCTCTTGCAACACTGACAAACTGATCTGCCGGAGACATCACTAAGTTTTTTTGCACAGGAATTTCAGAAAAACTGCTAAAGAACTGTGGCCCTCTTGGCGCAGCTGTGGTAAGTGATGAACTGAGATCTTTTATGAGTTCAGCTTCCTGTTGTGCAACTGTAGAAATAACCAATATTAATGTGTCAGGTGAAGTCTTATGTTGCCATGGGAAAAAAAAAACCAAAATTGAATGATTGCTGCCATTTTGCCAGCCATATCTTCAGTCAAACACCATCACAATCTGTACTAAAAGTGCTACAGGGAAAACCTGAAAATGACATGAAATTTTCTCCATACTACCCCATTTTCCCATAACTCTTCTGGTCACAATTCTCACTTCTGTTATCTGTGTTCAGTAATCTCTCACAGGGAACTGATATTTTTGTACTGCTTATGAGCCACAGTGTTCCTCATGCAGAAATATTGGAAGAGGGGAGAGCAAGGGGACAGGAAGATAAAAATTTTTCAAAGTCAGGAAAGGTATAAAGCTTGTACCAAGTTCAAGTCTAGGTACATTTCACATTTTTTCCAGCCTAGTTCAAGTGAGTTTATTATAGTTGAGCAATATTTCAGAAGTTATCAGACATATTATACAGGCACAGTAGGTATTAACTGACTTTTGCAATATTTTGTACTGTGGTCTCAAGCCAATACAGGTTAAAAGAATTCTTCACGAAAGTTCTGTGCAGGATATTAATAAAACTGTTGGTGTATCTAAAACATACTCTTAGAGTCTTAAAAAGTGTGTCAGTGACTAAAATTAGTATTACTACATGATTAACTCATTCAACACTAAGGCAGTAAGATTACTTTTTGAAAGTAAAGTGGGTGCTTTTAACCAAAAATGGGACAAAAAGATAGTAACAGGCAATGTAAAAATGACCACAACCTATGCAAAATTTTACTGTCACCAGTGACTTAGTTAAGCAGTCAGATGATACAAATAACTACCAGTGTGATGATATCTGTGTGATCTCTAATATATAAGTACACATATATATATATTTTAAACTACAGTATTAGATTTTTTTAAGACTCATTGTCTGCCGAATAGTCAAAAAATTTTAAAGAAACCCTTCAGCCCCCAAAAATTCCATTGCTCTCTAAAATGCAGATATCTTACTGGATTGAAGTTTAGCGCTGAATATTGATTGTAAAGTCATTTCATTTAATGTTCCTGTAAAAGTCAACCAATTCAACAGAAAAATAACCTAGACTCCAAGATTTGATAGGAGTAATCTCATTACTACATGTTACTTAAAAAGCCAGTGTATAAAGACAGGATTAGCTTTACAGATCTATGTTCCCTGCAAACATAATTCAAAGAAAAGAATTCCTACATAATTCATATTAACATTATCTACTGTCTAGATGCAAATGTCCTTAATTAAACACAACTATCGGAAAAGTCTTCAAAGGCTGAACTTTATTTTGTATACCAAAAATTCAAGATGAGCATTTATCACTATCTTCTCTTTAATATAACATAGGGAATAAAGCTATCTCTCACACAATTGCACCACAGATTTAACACTTGTTTTTTAAAAGTCTACACTGTCTGATTCAATTCTATACAGCTCCTCAATATTATTTTGTAACATAGCCAGCACAAAATACTGAGCTTCTGATTACACTATTCATTAATTTTCTGAATGATTATACTTTGTGGCTCCATAATCCACCTTGATACTGAAAAGGGGCTTTTAAATATTTGTATGACACTGCCTATGTATGAAAAAGTGCTGCAAAAATCACATAGTATGACATACAATAGCACATTTAAACTTGAGGTTATACAGGACCTCTGGTGACTACCTAGGCCAAAACCCTTGCTTAAAGCAGCAGCACCTAGAGCAGGTTGTGTGGGATCATGTTCAATTCTGTTTTGGAATCTCCCAGGAAAAAGGTATATATTGTCATCACACAACTGCTTTCTTTTTCCCTCAAAAGAAGTACAAATACTAAAAAATTGCTTCTAAAAATAAAATATTTACAGGTGTGTATCAAGAAAATTTGTACTGTACCTTTATAATCATAAATGTATATAAGTATTGGCTGATTTTGACCAAAGGCACAAAATGACACCATGTGTTCATGTGGATGAAAGGCAACATCACGAAGTGAAGATGTGAAGGAGAGTTCAGAATATATGGCCACCTGATCTCCTACAGAATTGAAATATGTTTATTAATACCACAGAAATGTATTTGAAACACACTGGATACAAAAAAATAACAGTTGGTTAAAGCTTATATTATTACAGTACAGTGTCTGACACTGTAAATAAATATTCTTCAGTCAATTTCCTTATTGAAAAGGATTTGGCATAAGACAAAAAAATATTGCATGCTTTTAAGTAATTCAATAAGTCATAAAAGTTGCAGTAGCTGCAGGAAATCCCAGAGGATACACTACGTTAGCTGAGTTCTCTTGTTCTGATAAGCAAGTTCTGGAAAGGTGGCGTTCCACAGTATTTGTTTGTGCTTGCATTGTACCAGAGATAGCCATCTTAGCTGCAGATTTCAACTATATAATACTGACAACAGGAGTGAAAGTTGAAGCACAGAATTATTACAAATATAAATAAATATAAAAATATAAATAAAATTAGCTCTTCAGATGATGGCACTATGAATGCCAGTACAGTGTGTAAATGAGTCAAAACCCAAAGAAAACATACTAATAACAAAGTCCTGGCTGGCAGTGATGACATTAATGAAAAAGGTACCAGGCTAATTAAAAATTACTTCAGGGCCCTGGGTTGATTAGTTAATGGGACAGGAGTACAGGTGGTGTTCGCCTTAGTTCCTGCAGTAGCAGGGATAAACGAGGAGTAGGAAAACCCATCTTAACAACAGGTTGCTAAAGGATTGGTGCCACAGGCAGAATTTTGGTTTTTTCGACCATGAGGCAAATTCTACGGTACCCAGCCTGCTAGAGTCAAATGGGCTTCATCTATCTAGCAAGGGCAAAAGGACTCTAGCCTGTAAGTTGTTGAGGCTGATCAGGAGGGCTTTAAACTAGGCTTGAAGGGGGAAGGAGTTGAAACCAGGCTCTCCAGAGATGAGCCTAAGGGTGGAAAGCCCAAGTCAGAAGTGAAATCAGCAGCCCAGCTGAAGTGCATGTACACCAACGCACACAGTATGGGTAACAAACAGGAGCTGGAAGCCATCGTGCAGCAGGAAAGTTATGATGCATTTGCCATCACAGAAATGTGGTGGGATGACTCGCATGACTGGAGTGCTGCCATGGATGGCTACAAGCTCTTCAGACGGGATAGGCAAGGTAGGAGAGGTGGAGGGGAGGCTCTATGTGTTAGAGGGTCTCTTGACTCTGTGGAACTTGAAGTCAGTAACAATAAGGTTGAGTGGCTGTGGATCAGAATCAAGGGGAAGGCCAACAAGGCTGACATCCTGGTAAGAGTCTGTTATAGACCACCCAACCAGGATGATGAGGGTGATGAATTATTCTGCAAGCAGCTAGTGGATGTCTCAAACTTGCCAGCCCTTGTTCTTGTGGGCAACTTTAACCTTCTGGATGTCTGCTGGGAACTCAACAGAGCAGAGAAGAGGCAGTCTAGGAGATTCCTAGAGTGTAATTTCCTGCTTCAGCTGGTAAATGAGCCTACCGGGGTGAGGCCCCGCTAGACCTTTGGTTCACATACAGAGAGGGGCTGGTGGGAGATGTGGTGGTCAGAGGCCATCTGGGGCACAGTGACTGTGAAATAATAGAGTTTTGAATACTCAGGGATGCAAAGAGGGCCATCAATAAAAATTCTACCCTGGACTTCCACAGGGCAGATTTTGGCCTACTCAGAAGACTGGTTCAGAGGGTACCTTGGGAAACAGCCCTTGAAAACAAAGGGGTAAAGGAGGGATGGACATGCTTCAAGAAGGAAGTCCTTAATGCACAGGAGCAGGCTGTCACAGTGTGCTGAAAGGTGAGCCAGCAGGGAAGACAGCCAGCCTGGCTGAACAGGGAGATTTTGAAGGAAATTGGGGGAAAAAAGAGACCTTACCGACTGTGGAAAAAAGGGCTGGCTACTCATGAAGAGTTTAGGAATATAGTTAGGTCATGTAGAAAGAAAATTAGAGAGACAAAGGCACAATTTGAACTCAGTCTTGTCTCTTCTGTTAGGTAGAACAAGAAGTGCTTCTACAAATACATCAATAGCAAAAGAAGAGGTAAGGAAAACCTTCATTCTTTGTTGGACATGGAGGGGAACATAGTCACTGAAGATGAGGAAAAGGCTGAGGTACTTAACACCTTCTTTGCCCTCAGGACAACTGGCCTCCAGAGCTGGTAGACAGAGACAGGAAGCTGAATAGCACCCCTGTAATCCAGGAGGAAACAGTTAGCAACCTGCTGAGCCACCTGGATCCTCACAGGTCTTGGAACCAGAGGGGATCCATTCTACAGTGATGAGGGAGCTGGCAGAAGAGCTTGCCAAGCCACTCTCCATCATTTACCAACAGTCCTAGCTCACCTACAGGGTGGACAAGGGATCAGACCCAGCCAGCATGGGTTTAGGAAGGGTAGGTCCTGTCTGACCAACCTGATCTCCTTTTATGATCAGGTGACCCACCTGCTGGATGAGGGGAAGGCTGTGGATGTGGTCTATCTGGACTTTAGCAAAGCCTTTGACACCATCTCCCATAGCACACTCCTGAAAAGCTGGCAGCCCATGGCTTGGACAGGGGCACTCTGTGCTGGGTTAGGAACTGGCTGGAGGGCCGGGCCCAGAGAGTGCTGGTGAACGGTGCTGCATCCAGTTGGCGGCCGGTCACTAGTGGTGTCCCCAGGGATCAGTGGTGGGCCCCAGTCCTGTTTAATATCTTTACTGATGATCTGGATGAGGGGATTGAGTCCACCATCAGCAAATTTGCAGATGACGCTAAGTTGGTGGGTAGCGTTGATCTGCTGGAAGGCAGGAGGGCTCTGCAGAGAGACCTGGACAGACTGGAAAGTTGGGCTGATTCCAATGGGATGAGGTTCAACAAGGCCAAGTGCCAGGTCCTGCACTCTGGTCACAACAACCCCATGCAGCACTACAGGCTGGGGACAGAGTGGCTGGAGAGCAGCCAGGTAGAAAGGGACCTGGGAGTTTGGATTGACAGGAAGCTGAACATGAGCCAGCAGTGTGCCCAGGTGGCCAAGAAGGCCAATGGCATCCTGGCCTGGATCAGGAACAGTGTGGTCAGCAGGTCCAGGGAAGTGATTCTTCCCCTGTATTCAACGCTGGTGAGGCCACACCTGGAGTACTGTGTCCAGTTCTGGGCCCCTCAGTTCAGGAAGGATATTGAGGTGCTGGAGCAGGTCCAGAGAAGAGCAACAAGGCTGGTGAAGGGACTTGAGTACAAGTCCTATGAGGAGAGGCTGAGGGAGCTGGGGTTGCTTAGCCTGGAGAAGAGGAGGCTCAGGGGAGACCTCATCACTCTCTACAACTCCCTGAAAGGAGGTTGTAGCCAGGTGGGCTCTTCTCCCAGGCTCTCTTCTCCCAGGTAACCTGAAGTAGGACAAGAGGGCAGGATCTTAAGCTCTGCCAGGGGAGGTTTAGGTTGGTTATTAGGAAGAAATTAGGAAAAATCAGACATTGGAATGGGCTGCCCAGGGAGGTGATGGATTCACCATCCTTGGAGGTTTTTAAGATGAGACTAGATGTGGCACTTAGTGCCATAGTCTGGTAACCACGGCAGTGTTGGATCAAGGGTTGATGATCTTGGAGGTCTTTTCCAACCCAGTTGATTCTATGATTCTTCCTCCTTTTATTCTCTTTTTAAAGTTTTCAGGCAAATTATGTAGTGGCATAGATATAAGCTAATGTAGTTGGAAACATGGAGAGAAATTCAAAACAAAACTGTTAGTTATCTGCCAGTTTTAAAATATTTACTTTTTCCTTTTAAAAAATTAATTAGATCATAATCAGAGACAGAACATTATGTCATCAAAAACAAAATGGTATTCTGCTACTTTCTACTGTCATTTTTGTCTCTTTTACCTCCTGCACAAGAAGACAGCAAACTCTTTATTTTACATTTGCTTGACCTTTTTTCAGAAAGATTTTGGTAGCTATTTTGAAACTACTTGGCTTGGGGACTAATTTACAAAGAAACCTTATATTCCACAGGCAAAAAATATTGAGTCTCTGACCACCCTTGGGAAACAGAAGAAGTGGTTCTCAACAAAAGCCTGATTCCCAAATCTAAACAGCACAACAGAAAAACTGATCTGACCTAAAACATTTTTTGTGCATTCCATTTTAAGACCTTCATGTAAGGAACTGCAGCATACAAAAAGCTGAGCTTCAGGTGCTCCAATCCTGCTGGATATTACAAATGCTACCTCTATTAATTTCCTCTAGAGAATAAAATCTCAGAGATTAATAACAGCTATTTAAAAGGTGGAGCTAAAGCCTCAGGATTTAAGTACATCTTACATAACTTTTACTCTGTATCAAAAGTGTTTCAATAAAGCTTAAAAAATCATTTCCCCCTCAGCCTTGAAAATTTGGCTTAAGACCATAAAATAATTAGTTACCTGTTTCTGGATTCCAAACATAAGCCTTTCCATCTTCACTTCCTGAAAACAGGAACGTACCACATGGTGTTAAGGTGCTGTGAATCTTTTCTCTGTAATTTGTGGCACCTATGAATTTCTTCGTAGCAAAGCTAAAGAAACAGAAAGTTTACAAATGTAGCAGATACTTTCAGAATAAACAATCTAACTTTTTATGCATCAGTTCCCCCCTCTATTCCTCAGAAAAATCAATACACCTTGCATCCCAAATAGATATGCACCTTCTGCAGAGTGCAGTGTTCACCCTTTATTTTCCCTGACTTTCATAATGCACCTGACATTACAGATGAAAGCATACATCCTTGTCTTTCAGTAGAAAAACAAAATCCTCAGATCTAGAGAATGGATACAGATGTAGTAATTTGCATTGTCTTGATCCTGGGCTTTGCAAAAAATGGGGAAATTGGCACTATTACTCCAAGCTTTGCCAAAAAAGTTTTTATTATGCTTCTTGAGCTTGAGTGCTTAAATTTATCTAGCAGCTCTCTTCAGCTCTTCAGACTAATGTCTCCTTGGTTAGAAAACCAGCAGTAGAATCAACAAATTTCAAGATATACATGTTAATTTACTATTAATATTTTTAATATTATTTTGCAGCTTAGGTATCCTATTCCCTTTTCCAGCAAAACACTACTGGTCAGCTTAGGAATCATGATCTACTGTCAAACAGTTTGCAGGCATCAAGTGGGAGTTAATCTACAAAAGGATGGAAAGAAGCGTAAGTCAGCTTTTAAGAGGCTATTTCAAACATGAGGCATAGCCTAGAAAACAATATGAAAGTTCAACATGGAGACTAACACAGCAGCAATACTATGACACAGAATTTGAGGCAAGAAGAATGGCAATAGTCCACCACATCCCTCAAAGACAGAAGACAGTAATTTTTCAAATGTGTTACTGAAGAAATAATGGAGGTATGCTGGGAGAAATGCAGTGCATTTCATATGACAGGAAGATTATTTTAAACAATATTCTGAATAAACATACTCCATACGCAATTCTATTTGGCAAGTAAGAGAAAAGGATTCCTTAATGATCACAGTACAAGACTGTATTAGCCCAAAAAGGAGTTTTAGCTGTGTGAATAAAAAGAGATAGTATCTCTGAGATGTCAACAGAAGAGCTCTGCAAGATGTAAAACTAACCTGCATATGAAACCCTAAGGAGAGGACTGAACCAAATCTCTGATCACATACCTAAGTGACAAGACAGCAGTATTAACCAAAAAGATCAAAAAAGCAAGTTAAAAGAGGAAAGTTAAGAGCAACAAGCTATCAATCAAAGTGAATTGTGAAGATCTGTGACCTCCGCCCCCTCTTTTCTCATGCAGGGAATGAACAGTTAATGCTGACGTGTAAAATTATCACTGCTGGGTATCTGACCCTGTGGTTTATTGATAGACTTAAGCCAATGTAACTGTGGGCTGTGGTCAAAGTAGCAGTCCTGCTGCTGTCCTCTCCACCCTTGTTTTCCCAGGCTCTCCCTCATTTCTTCTCTAGTGTTCGGGCAGCTATCAGACAAGTTTGATAAGATAGTTGATTAAAATGAAAATTAATAATTTGTATTTGTAGGCTGATTTTCAGTCGGATCAGCACACTGATCAGACTTACCCTGCATCAAAAGACCTCTAGAGATGACAAAAAGGAAATGCTAGGAATACATGGCCAAAGCTGTGGCAGACCCAAGGAGATGGTGTGTCCTATGGATAAACTTACTTAAAATAATTGTGAAATTGCACCCCATATCAACCCTTTCTTAAAGAGTAATATGCATGTCCATTTTCCCCTCTCAAACTAAAATTCTGTCCTTTTTAGAAAGCGTAGCAACAGAAGAACACTATCTGCCTCAAAAACTACAGGTTTGCTCTGTCAATCCACCGATTTCAAGCTTTGATTGAGTGGATACTTTAGGCTTCTTGCATAGTCATTATAATGTACCGTTTACAGTAAAAGAGGAAAAGTGCACTATAATACTGTAAAGTCTTCAGTTAGTTCAAACATTCAATCCAATAGAATAACAGAACAGCTTAGTTTGGAAAAGACCTTCAAGAACATTAAGTCCAACAGCTAATTCAGCACTGTCAAGTCCAGCACTAAACTATGTACCTAAGTGCCACACCTACATATCTTTTAAATATCTCCAAAGATGATTTTCTGTATAGTGAGGGGAGGAAAGACACTTATGAAATTAAGGATAAAACATTTAGGAAGCATGTTCGTATTTTTAATGTCACTTTCCAGAACAGAATGTTCAGGTACATCTTAACAATGTATTTAAGTGATTAGAGCGAGACCCTTCTAACTTTCACCCAATGAAAGGACATGAGGGAATGGACATAAACTGAAATATAGGAAGCTCTGCTTAAAATTAAGAAAAAAAGTCTTTTACTTTGAGGGTGAATGAACACTAGAACATGTTGCTCTCAGAAGCTGTAAAATCTCCAAGATATTAAAGACCCTTCAAGATATTAAAAACCCAACTGTATAAAGCTCTGAGTAACATGCTGTTTGTGATTTGATTATTGGGTTGAACTGGTCACTCTCCAACATCAAAGACTCAAGTGAGACTGTAATCCCCTTGCTTTTTATTGTAGTTTATTACTAAAGAATCATGTTCATAACTATTAAGAATGAGATAATCATCAAAAAACTATGTCAAAATATCTCACAGCCTGCTTAATACATCATAATACATACATCATTGCATTTTTCAGTATTTATGATGACAATCATATTCTGTTTCATTATCCAAATACCCTTCCCAGAGTCTTAACAATGAGAAACTAACACACAAATAAACGTTATCATTTCAAAGTTATTTTCACGCCTAGATTGCATTTGAAAAGGGATTTCAATCTTTAGGAGACTAACACTGTCTTCTTCATGCCACCTTATGCTCCCACGTAATCTAGTAATTTATGGATATTCTATTCTAAAAGACTTACCCAATATCACACAAAAGGTCTGTAATACAGCGGTGTTTTGAAACCATTTCCTAACCCTTGATTATTAGGACATCTTTCTCCTCCCCAGCTACACACCTAATACATCTATGGTATTTTATTTCCCCAAGTAAATTTTAAAACAAAAAGGAAATACACATTTGTCACCAAAAATACTAACATTCTGAGATCTATAATTCTCAGGATACTGTCTTTGGCATGGATCAATAAACGCCTTCCATTCGGATGCACCTCCAAATGATTTATTGGTGTCCCTTTAATATCATTTTCTTTTATTTCCTACCGAAAGAAGGAAAATAAAGAAAAATATATAACCTTGTGTTTTAAAACTCATCTTTCTACACGTTATTATTCATTTTTCTCTTGCATTACCCTTTTTTTCTCAATTCATTCTATTTGATTAAAAAGTGCGTTCCTATATTAACGCATTACATCCTAGACATCAACTATTCTCAACCACAAGGCAGATTCTGTTGTGACTGAATTTTAAAAAATTCAGCTGAAGACAGAAATGCCAACTGAACATTAGGCCTCTAAGGTATGAACAAAGGTGATTTGTAAAGGCTATGGTCTGTTTTATTACTGTCTCTAGAGAACAAACCATGTACCTGAGAGTCCAAACACTTCTTGAACTTTGTCAAGCTTGGTGCTGTGACTACTTCCCTGTGGAGTTTGTTCCAGTGCCCAACCCAATTAAGTTGCAAAACAATTAAAAAAAATTAAGTCACTGAATCACAGCACATTGTTTCAGTTCTTTTGTACTGGTTTTTACAGAAAATACACCTTAGCAGCTAAACAAAAGGTAACGTATAAAAAAAATTCGAATTCAAATCAAATTACTAAATTTAAAACAGTTCACATAAAAATTACAATGCTAGTTTAAGAAACCTGTATACCTTATTGATCCTCCAGTGTTGAAATAGATGTTGAGAACTTCCGTTGACAGGTGTATCCCAAACTATTATCAATCCTGAACTATCTCCTGAGAACATGTGCTGTCCTGTGAAATAATGTCTTATAAGTGAAATACCACCACACCAAAAAAATAATACAGAAAACTATATATAAACAAGAAATCACCTTTTTTTTTCTATCATTTCATCCTAGCATTTTTGTGAATAGGCAGTTCTTCCATCTCTTTTGCTATAATATACTACTTGCAAATGCATTTTGCTCATATTGTATGATATAAGCTGATACCATAAATTTGGATTTAGCATATATATCAGATATAGAATATACTTTTAATTGGAACAAGAACAAATACTGTTATCCAATACTTGTTCTTTAAGTACAAATATTTATTCTTTATAAAAATGCAGCTTTCCTCTCCATAGTACCTACTTCAGTGACTACCTCCAAAAACGAACCACCTGATAACTAATGATATCACTAATACCAGAAAAAGTCAAACACATCCAAGTACCTTTAATTATTCATCTTCAACTCTTCCTTCACTAGTACACGTCAGTACATCACTCACTTTCAGCGGTTAATCTACCAGTTAATATGACTCACAATGGTCAAATCTCTGTCCTTTTCTCTCAGTGTTTCCTATTTCTGTCAATGTCAAAAAGTTCATCACCTTCTCACTTCTGCAGTCTAGTGTTAAAATTCTCACAATCTAACTATACTACCTCATTTTCTTTACCAAAGAATTACAGAATGGTTTGGGTTGGAAGATCATCTACCTCTGTCCTCCCTGACCTGGGCAGGGACACCTTCCACTAGACCAAAGCCCCAGCCAATCTGGTCTTGAACACCTTCAGGGATGGCACATCTGCAATTTTTCTGGGCAACTCGTTGCAGTGTCCCACTACCCTCACAGTAAATAATCTCTTCCTAAGAAGAATACATTGCCTCTATGACATAAAGCAAATTAGTAACAGTCAAGTTGGCCTTCGACAAAAAAGACAACTACTTCAAAAAGTAATACTACCTACATACCTTCTGCATCAAAACAAAGTGTGTTGATGAAACTTTTATGACTATCAAGCTCCTGTAGCAGTTGCCCATGGATTTCTTTCACATTTGCATTCCAGATTCTAATCACTGAGTCATAACATCCTGTCACAACCAATGAGTCAGCAATTGGGTGGTACTTTGCAGTGTAAACAAACGAAGGATGAGGGAAAACTCTCACTGCAGATGCCGCCTGCATTTCTATTTTCCACATTCTTAAAAGGAAATAAAGTTAGGATATCTACTGTATAAAGCAATCACACACACAGATATAACTGATGCCATATTTTGTGCTAGTGGTTCTAGAGGTAAATACTTGCAAACACCTAACAACACCCACTTATCCTACCAATTTGTTTCACCTATATCTAATCCTTTAATACAGTAGTTTGTAACAAGAATTAAGAAACATTTACTGCTTTACATAGTACTCTGTCTTCAAAGTAAATTCATGACTACTTACTCATTTAATGGATATATTACACATTTTAAAATACACATAAAGAATTTCATGGAACGGATCGGTGTCTTTCTTTCAGGAGTTACAACCAATTCAAGACCTTGTTGGATATCACTAATTTAAAAAAACGTTAGAACAAAAAACCCGCAAAGTAACATTTAGGGTCACTAAATATAAATAAAACCCCAGAAAATTTTACAGTAGTAATTACCAACCAAACAGTGATCATGATCTCAAGGATGTTTGCATCACATAAATTCACTTCTTACTATTTATCTATTTCCTATCCTTTGACACCCATTGCTGTAAGATCAGATTTTTCTGTGTTTTCTATTTGATGGTATACATTTTATCACCGAGCCTTCCCCAAAGATAAGTCCACAAAGAATAGAACAGTACCTGAATCATTAAATACAGTTGGGCAGCACATTAAACAGAGTGCTCAGTTACAATATGGAATTGAATTGCTTTAGTGACACCCTTCCAGGTGAGGTGACCACTTCTGGTGGCTATTGACGAATTCTAAACTTACTCTGAGGTGACCTCAGAGTCACCTGCAACCCTTTAGAGTACAATTAATTTGCAACTTAATGCAGAAAGGTCACAAGGAATCTACCTATCTTTTAGAATGGTTTTGCTCTAACAACATAAAAATTAATTTATTGCTTATAAATTATGTGGGACTAAACCTTGCAAAGGCTTGAGGATAATATAAAAGAGTATACAAAGAAGAATTCACAGAAGTTCCCAAATTTCCCTTCAAGTTGCCCTAGAATTCAGTACAAGAGATGGTCTAAGTAATAAACTCATAATGAATTTAAAGCAATGGGGTGTTGAAACTTTTTAAGGAGCTTAAGGCAACGGACAATAAATACAGGAACTAATAACTCGTACAGTGACCATGCGTAGCACACAGAAAAGGAGGCAGACCACTACAGTTTCAGCTTGCTGCCACAAATTCAAGAATTGAGGAACAGCTGGTCCTCCTTACAGGCAACATAAATGACAAATTAATATTTACTTCAATATAAAAAAATATTATTTAATCCACTCCCAAATTAAAAAAAAATTGGGCCGCGTTCTCAAAACAGTCTTTTTATGCCTACATACAAGCAACAAAAAAACCTAAACAAGTTCCACATATACGATATACCCTTTAACAATTCTGGCATTTCAATTATGCAACTGCCTGTAGCATTACTGAGTTGCATAACAGAAACAACACATAGGAACCTGAAGAGCTAAAAAAAAAAAAATAAAGCTCCATGAAAACCAATGAAGTTGCTCATCATAAAATTGCACAGTGTCACAGCCATATTTTCATGTATTTCTACAGTTTTGAGGGTTTTGGCTTTTAAAAGTTGAACAGATTAGTATTTTGATATTAACATTGCACTGAAGAACACTTTTTATTTGTAGAGGAAAATGTGTACATGTTCGATTTAAGAAATAACAATATCAAATTTTATTTTCAGCAATTTAAGTGGAATTATTTAAATAAGTTTACAAAACCAAAAAAACCCCACCAACATAAATATATGCAGTGTGGCCAATTTATAGACATAACCTGAATCTTGCATTTTCAATTTATTGCTTCATGTTCAAATTTGCAAACTTAATACTGCATTCATAGCATGGCAATTTCTCCAGGGACCAAATATCACAACTGTATCAGTGTCTTCTTGAAATATTGAAAAACCTTTTGGTTTTTCAGTACATTGTAGATTTAAACACTACAGTTTTTTGAAAAGGTTTGGTCTCACATACATATACATTAGAAACCAATATAGTAAATATAGTGTCAGTGTCTAACCCAATCACAATTTTTATGTTATTGTAGTCATACCGTAATTAAATCTTTAACTAAAACAGTATAATACAGTTTGTAGTAAGATATTGAATTGGACTGCTTTCTTTTCTGCTTGTGATGCTATCTGCCAGAACATCATCATCATACTGACCTGACAGTGCCATCAGAGGATGCAGTAAGAAGGTATTGATTGTCTTTTGACCAACAAAGATCATACACTATGTTAAGGTGACCATAAAACTCTCTCAGGAACTGTCCAGAAGGAATTTCATACACTAGTGAAGTTTAAATAGAAAAATAAAAGTTTTGTTAAGTATTTACAGTCAAATATATGTAGCTACTAGAGCAAAGTTTAGTCTAGTCTTAGGCTGATTTTCTGCTAGCATAAATCAACTCATTTTCTTTATCTTCTCATTTTGAGAGAACAAGATCAAATAGTTGCTAGATATGCATGGACAGCAAGCATCTGCTTCCATCTAGTGGTTCATTAATGTCACAATGTCTTAACCCTTAAGAAACAGTTTATATTATCTTTAAATTAGGATTAGGATTAGATACATATATATTTTTTTTTTTAAATTTTGACAGCTATTTGACCAATCTTTGAATTATTTTACCATTGAGATCACTTTCTGGGGCTGTGTAATAAAGGAAATTAGATTTATTGTTCCTTGCATTTAAACATGTATTTTGTGTAAACTTAAAATACTGTTCTCTCTAAATCTCAAAATTCTTCTGGAAGGCTTAAGAACTATGCAATTGAAGATACTGTGATGAAGCAGTCCCAAATTTGAGTAATAAGGAATATTTGTATTTCGACTGAACTGGACCATGGAAGACAGCAGCTTCCAGTAGTCTGGAGTCGATGACAACATTCGGGCATCTAACCTTCAAGACTGGTTAGGAGAAAAACTTACATGAAAACTTTGGGAGGTAGGAGCTGAAAAAGTTATTTCACTTAAAACATTGTTATCAAAAAATATGTTCCTTCTGCAAACTGGTTTTGTATTTCCATTAGACCTTCAGGCTGAAAGTGTCATTTCATATCATTAAACTGTATACATATAACCATGTATGAAAAGCCAGTTCCAGCCCTATCAACACAGAAAGAGTATTTTCCTCAATGCTCTTTAATGCACATAAGAATTTGCAAAACACAATAATAAAACAGAACCCCTAAAAAAAGGACAATTTAAAAATACATCTTTTAACCTTTAGTTGCAAACCACATGAATTATAAGAAAAAAAACACGGAACATATTTAAACTTACAAACAATGGGATAGCCGTTCCTTCCGGCACACGCTGCTGCCAGCATTTTCCCATCATGAGAGAAACGAACACAGAAACAGCCCATATCTCCACCTCGCAGTGAAAACAGGTGTTTGTTTGGTATGCGGCAAGCCTAGCTTTTCAGGGAAGAATGGTATGAATATTAACTATCCAACACTTAAAACACATTCTTAGCTACTGACATGCATAAGTTTTAAAAAGCTAGTAACATCTTCATGGAATTTAAAAGAAAAATTCAACCTTATATACAGAGATGGTTCTGCAGCACAACTCAGGCTACATCTAGTTTGTATGTTTGTTTCTGCCCCGTTATTACAAACCACTAGCAAGTTTTAAAAACCTAAGAAAATTTACAATTAAAATAATTTCCTTAATTTTAAGAAGTGCTTAATAATGTCTATCATCAATGATGCAAACTGTGCAGTTAGACTGTAAGTCAAGCTTGTTTAAGGAGTCTAAGCACAACTTTCAGTGACTTAATGAACTCAAAAGTCTAACCACAGGCACTTAAACCTTGGGTTTACCAAATCACTTTTAGCATTCCTCATCTGTATTTAAATACCTGACTTTTAAAGACACAACCAGAGATGAAACATTTCAAAACACTGCACAGACATTTTAGTCCCTTTTCCTTTCTCCCAAAATATTTCCTCTTTTTTCACCCAAGGGCTTTTTCTTCAACACTAAATTCAAAGTTTAAGGTGAAGTAAAATATCCACAATAGCTATGTGATTATTTAACCTAAACCTGATTTACCTTTAGGAATGACAAATGAGTGTGAACAGATTTATATTCATTTAAAAGTATAGAAATAGATCTCATCACCATGGCTAGGCTTCGCGAACGAAGATTTGGGAAAGGCTCTATCCACATTTGTTACAAACGAATAGATCTACTCATGAAATACTCATATATACACTATTAATCTTGTTAAAAACTATATATGCAATTAAGGCTTCTAATGCTTTTTAAACTTGCTGTAAAATAAAACAATATTATGTTGAATTAGTAATTCAGCTCAGAAAAACTTATTTCATTTCCAGGTCACGTAGCTATAATTCACATATAAAATAAATTAAATATTTAATTCATGTATCAAATAAGTCATAATTCTATAGAACATTTTTGAAAAATAATATATCATCCATCTATGGAGACAGATACAGACATACTTTACAAAGATAGCTTTAATTGAAAACAGTAATTTAAATGTATAAAAAGGAAATAATAATTTTGATCCATTATTAAATTTTAAACAAGTGCATATTTCAAATATTTTTTAGCAAACAGACATGCCACATCATGCTAACCTTACTGAAACTTTTTCACAAGACAGCACATCACAAAATGCATCATCATTGCTACCATTTTTCAATATGCCCATGGACTAGTCTAAGCATAAATGAGCTAATAAAGTAACATACTTAACCTAAATACAACTTTCAGGTATCCTGCCATTTTTGGTAAGAAAATTCCCATTGTAAAAACTCTAGTCTATTCCTTACTATTTTATTATTATTAGCAAACAGTGCTGGAAATCAAGTCCATGTATATTTAAGCGTTCTTTTCAAAAGTATCCGTACAAGAATTACAGTAGGGAACCAAAATAAAAATCATCACTCTTTCTTAACAAATCTTTATGTTATGCTTTGAATTTGTATAGAGTCATGAACCCGTGCTAACGCTGTTCTACAAAATGATATGAAATTATTGCATGGACATTCTATATATAGTTGCAAAAATATTCCCATTTTATGACTGCTGATTTTCATTAGCTACAGTGATCTAGGGGTTAGGATGAAGTCAGCAAAAACCTTCTTAGGAAGGTTCTTCAATATAAATTCTTTCTGTTATACTGTGAAAATAACTTTAACAAACAAACAAACAAAAAATCTCAAGAAAATATATTTACAATCAAGCTGAAATCTGAGAACAGGTTTCCTGTCTTACTTCCATTACCCGAATAACCCTACTCTTTCAAATTCTTAGAGAATTCTGGAGATGAAAATACCTGACTGTTCTCGGAAAAAAAAATGGTTAAATCAACCATATTTGCTAAGATTAAGCATCCTCTGCTATCTATGAGACTTTTTTCATGTTTTAATATTTTTCTTAATTTTAATTAATTACTTGCTTCATAATACTTATACCATAAAAACAGTTAGAAAAATATAGTAGCTATTTAAATTATTTTCCTTTAAAAACAAAAGAAAAACACTTTACCTGTCCAGGCAATCTTGACCATTTAAATGGTTCCTTTTTCTCCTCTGGAAAAGGTTCGTATCCCTCTCTCTGGAGCTCAGACAGTGCTGTATTACTTTGTTCCTGCTGAACAGCTATCATAGAGCGAAAAGAAGGAGCAACCTTAAGGCAAACAAAACTAAGTATCAAGGAAAAATATTTTTGAAGTGAGCAATGTAATTTCTGAAAAGATTTTAACTTTAAATGTATTGTATTTTTACATCTGAAACACAGCGATTGGAAAAGGCTTAATACATAAAAACTGCATTGCAAAAACTTCATTTAAAGTAACCAGGAAGTCAGAAAGTAATCCAAGCTTCTAAAGTTGTGTCAATCAGATGGTATCACAGATTTATCAAATAACTGATACTTTTCTATTTTTAGTAACTATCCAGGTCAGTGAAAATTAGTAATACTCTTGTATTGTATTGTATTGTACTACTGCAAGGGTGTTGCATAAAAAAATAAAAAAAGCATTCCAGCATGTAAATAGTTGTAGTGACATTAACCTACTACCTTACAATCAAAATACTGCTTCAGTAACAAACCCCATTCTTCATATCAAAACATATTACCAGTGTTGTTCACTCTTGATATCAAAAGATATTACCAGCATTGTGTACGTTCAGTAGTTGCAAAGAAAGGAGGACTGACAACATTTATGATTTTAATAGTAGGTAAAGCATATATACTTTCCAGATTTCTGTAAGTACACTCACTGAACCTCACCTACAAGTTACACCAAGCTTGAACACACAGGAAACCTCAACACTAGGCAACAGCCCAGCAGCCCCTCTGAGAGGCACAGAGGCCATACAGCAAGAGCTGCAGTTCTGATCTGTTTTACTAATTCTCTTTAGAAACACACCAGAATACCACGCAAAATTACTGTTTTCTTCCAGGCTTACATTAGCTAGGTATTCACTGTCTAGGTTCCTGTGACTAAAAAAGAAGGCTGGACACATACTATGCAAGTAGAAATCAATTTAGGAGTTTAAATTGTTTGTCAACTTCTATGCAAATGCCCTGTTTTATCCGAGACATCTATTTTCACATCTACTAGCCCATGCAGAGGTATGTGAGATCTGGACTCTTCTGGAGAAGCAGACTAGGCAGAATTTGTAATAGATCTTAAATGGAAGCAGAAATCTATGCATAGAAAACTGTCATGCCATGGCTCTTATCTGGAGCTCAATCCCAGCCTTACCAAATCTGGCATTTATGAGAACAAGAATGAAATAATACCAGTAATCAATGAATCCAGTCAGGCACAAGTCAGAAAGCCTACAAATTCACCACATCAGCTGAATTTCACAGAGGACTGTAAAGTAGGGACAGCTGTAAACCAGTGACAGCACCTAAACCTACCAGGAAAACAATCAGACCATGGTAAAGACAGGCTCAGAGGACTTCCAGAAAAAAAGAAGCACAGATGCTCAAGCAAAGTGCACAGAATTCCTAACAACCTCAGCAGCTGACTGAGCAGGAGATCTGCAGATGTCATTCCAGTACACAAATTAGAGCATCCCAAACCCTGTGAACTAATCCCACAGATTAGCTCGGTTTTTGTCCAGGCACATCTCACCAGCCTTCCACATCACCCTTGACTGTACAAACAGTGAGCATAAGAAAGCTCTAAATACAAACAGAAAATTATATAATAGAACAATACTGTACTTGCATACTAGAAAAGTAAATGCTGTATTTATCTTGAATGTGCATCTCAGCCCACACCAATGTAAGCCTATCTTTAAAGGAGTTTTCATCTGAGAAAAAAAAATACAGCTCATTATAGCTTGAGGGTGCAGGGAATAGAGTTAAGTGACTTACATCTTCTCTCACAGAATTTACACACCTGCACGAGTCCAGTGACTTAAAACGGCATTTCCCCTAATAAGAAGGAACCTTAATCTTCAAGAAATTACACTAAAAGTTCTCTGTCAGTGACAAAATATTCAAAGTTGTAGATGGGAAAGTAAGCCTATTTTTCAAAGATAACTAGGAAGGGCTGAGTTTGAAACATATCTTCAGATGCAATGTTCTTATAGTGTATTTTATATACTGCATACAAGCACAGTTTTTATATCCATGCATACAAACACAGATGCACATACTCTAGCTAGTTACTAGTTCCTGCAGAAAAGTCTGCATATTTGTAAATATATTTATATATTATATATTTAACTTACATGATCCGGCAGTTTTATGCCTCTTACAGTTACATATAAAGTTGATGGGTAACGATTTCTAGGACATTTTGCCCACCAGTCATAAACCTCAACAACATTTGAACGTGACTTGGTCCTTGAAGGTGGGTAATATAATTGCAGACGAAGTTTTCCACCAATGTTTAGAACTCCATTTGCACCTACAAGCTGGAAGGGTGATTAATTAGAGGAAAGAGGAAGAAAAAGTTAACATAAAAGAAATAAAAGTAATTGATAATTTCTAGTATTTTAGCTACAGTATAAACTCTTGAAATCCACTGCCCATTGCAGAAATATACTAATCCTAGAAGTGGTAATGAATTTAACATTATTAAATGCCCCAAGATCAAATCACTAAGATTAAAGCTTAGATAGCAGCCTAGTTTTGAAAGATGTTTCACAGCAGTAATACCATGAAAGTGGGAAGATCTCTGTAGTACCACTTCAGGGGTTTTTTTTTTTTTGGTTTGGTTTAGTTTTTTTGTCTTTTTTTTTTTGTTTGTTTAGTTTGGGGTTTTCTTTGGGTTTTGGTTTTGTTTGGTTGGTTGGTTGTTGCTGTTTTTGGATTAGTGGTTTTTTTGGCTTTGTTTTTTTTTTTAATTATTACTTGCTAAAATCAACCAAATCTCAAAGGACTGCCAATCCACAAACAGCCTCTTCCAAATTTGTTTCCTTTGAATGTTGCAACAAAGGGCATTGCTAAGGCTTTGGTTCAGAGCAGAAGATACAGCAAAGCTGTAGCATCTCCAACTTCAGAGGAGACAGAGTTCTGTCTACTGATCTAAAGAACAAGTGTACCTAGTGCCATTAACCCTGGTCAGTGTTTATCAGGACATTACTTCGACTGATACAGATGAAAGGATAATGCAGACAGACAAGTAAGAACAAAGAACAGGCCACCATTTTATTCATATTTATGCTGAAAATTCACCCTTCCCTCCATTCAGGAGTAGGCTGTCCTGAATGCCTGGATGCAGAGCTATACACCCAGATATGCTGTACCAGACTTCGGTTTCCAGTAGATTCATCTTGGGCAGAGCTAAGAAGAATCTCCATATTGAACTGATATGAAGGTCCCACTCCCTTCACCTAAACTTGCAGTCCATTATCTTCTCCTGTATTTCTCATGCTGTAGACTGCTCAATGATTATCATCCACACAGGTAGGTGTTAATAAACAATCCTCAAGGAAACTAAAGCTTGCCAGCTCTTAAAGAACAAACTGACACATTCAAGTCTCTCCTAAAAGGGTAAAAAGGTACACATGTGCTGGCTAAACTACCAGTATCTCACATTTGCCTCATTTGTATATCAATTGTCACAGCATTCCCAATGCCACAACTAAAAATGAGAGGAAATTTCTAATTGGGCTAGGGAGTCTTTTCAAAGATTGGACAACTAAAAATGCCACTCTAATACAGAACAGCTGAGGTACAGAAATTAGTGGATTTGTCATTTTCTTCAAAATCACACAACCACACAGAAAACCCTAAGAGAAAATCTTTTTCTGTACCTTATGAACAAAAAAAAACCCTTACACGTTCTATGCTTTCTTAAAACCCACATATTTTTTATTGTCAAGCTTGTTAATGTGTTGATTTTATGGGGTGAAAGAAGAGGGAAAGGAGAGAACAGCCAAGCAAGGAATTTTTTCCACCATCTCTGTTGTTGAAAATATTAAAAAAAAGTTTCCCTACTAAGTACAGTTAGAGATTTTCAGATAAAAATATTTATAAATTTTGCTTCTTTAATTAAATATTTACAATACCTTTAGAAATGCCCAACAAATTTTTCGATAATGACCTTCCTGAATTTGTACATTGGAGTTGGCTCTCACTTCATCCATACTTAGACAATCAAGGACCTAGAAGTATCAGCAGGAATATAAATGTATTTCTAACGAACTTCATGGTAATTAAAAAATAATTGCTGAAAATATGCTAGATGCATTCACTAAATTAAACAGATTTCAATTTTAAGAAATTACAAAACCAGTATTTTTCCCATCCAAGGGTACAATTAGAAATGACAGATCCTTATGCATTTACCTGATGGCTATTTATGACCTGCATTAAAAAGAATGTCTGGTCTTAAAAAAACCTATTTTCGCTTCCCTTCTGTCTCAGTAAAAGAGGAAACAATAATATGTAATTTTCTTAAATCCTATACACTTCAGAAGTCATAGAGATCACAAATCTGACAGCTAAAACTAGGTGCATACTAATCCAGATGGAAAATGGCAGTCACAAATTTAATTTTCCTTTCCTAAATTTATCACTTTTGTCATAGAATCAGTCATAGAATGGTTTGGGCTCAAAGGAATCTTCAAAGACTATAGAGTCCTGTCTCATGGGCTGGGACATCTTTCATTAGATCAGGTTGCTCAAAGCCCCATCCAACCTGGCCTTGAATACTTCAAGGGATGCCCATAAGAATCTTCATTTTTCAGTCAGGAACCAGAATTTTATCATATTTAGCTACTTTTGGAAGTTTATCTTGGTATACAAAAAAACTCCCCTTAGAATCATACTTTCTTCAAATTGATTTTTCAATTGATAAACCACGCTGAAGTCAAACAGCATACTCGCAGTGTAATCATACTTTTTGTGGTCCTAACATCAGTTTGATTTCCATGAAGAATCTTTACAAATATAATTAGTTTTGTGTTAAGCAACTAAGGACTCTTAATTCTATAAATATGTTCATTTATAAGCATCACAAAACATAAAGAAACACACGGTAATGTATTATATTCAATCTATTTGAAACAGAAAAAAAACAAGGAATGAAAAAATATTTATTGTATTAAGATACCATTTTGAGGTTAGTACTACAGAATCTCTCTGTACAAATATTGAAATACTTAAGCTCAAAATTATGTTGAATATATAATTTACAATATAGAGGACAAATTAATAACTACTTTATGAAGATGGGGCCAGAAGTAGTAGACATGTAAAATGTTAATAGAAACAATGCAATAGCTTACTCATTGGTACAAGGAGCTGTTGCTACAAGCAGACAAATTCTGCCTTTCAGTTTCTGGTACTTCTTTTCAGATTTCAAGAGCGTGAAAAGAAAAAAGTGATATCCTTCATATCTTACCAGCCTTTCCCAGAAGGTTGACAGTTGATTTAATAAGTTTTTTACTCTTTATTACTATCAAAACAGGGGTTGTTTTTATTTTATGAAAAAACACTTTTTGGTATCTCCAGTTAATTCTGTATCTTAAGGCTATGCTATTAACCCATTCTAACTAAAACAAAACATCTGAATCAGTCAAATATATACTGCTGAAGAAACAAACCAAAAATCAGAATATGCATAAACTGGATGCAAAATATTTAACCTTACCTCAAAAAACAGGATAACCTGAGGGTTTTCTTCAGTGTTTTGGGTAAAATAAGTAAAACGCTCATTAAATATTACTTGTTCTTCCCACTCTGGAACTGTTGATTTAGACTGTCTAAAGTCATATGGTTGAGTCATAATAGGAAGAATGTGCTCTATTTCTTCTTGTTCATAAGATGAAACTTCCCTCTCGCTGCTTGAAAATTTCCAGAGAGTTACAATTGTTAGAGCACTTAAAAAAAAACCTCAAGCAAAACAGTATTTTCAATTACTGAAAGCAAACTATTTGTTTGACTCTAGAAAAAAACTCATCCAAAATTTAACACAATTTGCAATGTATATAGAAATGCTGCAGGCTAAAGTCCAAAATCCTAACCATTAAGTTACTGTTAGCAAATTTACGCATAAAGGTCGTGGTAGAGCCTACTGTTTAAACACAGTTAAAATTTGGGTTTCAGGAAAATCATGCATAATGACAGTGGAAACAAGCAACTCAAGCAACTAGAAATATGAAGAACTAAACTTTATTTCAGGATTTTAGAAGTTCTTTAATAAAAAAGAAAAGGTAGGCATTATTTATACTGCAAGAATTCTGCTTACTTATTCTAACCTTGGCTTTTACATATTTTTAGGACTTAGGAAATTTTCTCTCTGGAAAGAATATAGAATTAACTGCATTGCAAATATGGGGATCTCGAGAGCAATACAGCAGTGCAGAGCATTTAAAGTGCCAAAAGGAAAAGATAAATACCACCATCATTTATTGTAGGTATATATATATATACATATATATATATATATATATATATATATATATATATATATATAAACACGGATGTAGAAACTAACAAACGACTACAGATGCTTAAAATTGCTCATTGTTTTCATTTTTATACTTAATTTTCTAGGGAAGAGTATACCTATTTATTGTAAACATTGATAATAGAAACAGTTTATTAAAAGTCACCTGTGATCCTTCTTGACATATAAGCCACTTCTCTGATCAACAACATGGATTTTAACTACAGGATGAGATACCAAGAGATCAGTTTTAAGTCGGTCAGATCGATGGATATAAACTCCCAAAATCAGATCATCAGCAAAACCAAATTTAGACTGAGTTGATATTTCTGAATTCTTCTTTTCCTCATCATTTTCTGCAGCAAATTCTGTGGTTTCTTCTAGAAATAGGAACAAAGTAAATAAACTGTCACCAGTGGAACATAATAACCTCAAAGCAGTAAAAATGCTCTGTATTGTCTTCGCAAACAATAGTAAAGCAATAAAATTAAAAGTGTTCTTTATGTAATAGGTTAAAATAAAATTATCGAATTTGCAGCATCTTTAACATGTATGAACATACACAGAAGTACACATTAATTAATATAATCTATTCATATTAACAAACATTTTAATCTAAAAATCACAGGTCTTCCTCTTGATTGAGGTTCTTCCATGCCACAATGACTTAAAATCCATACAGTTCAACAGCCTGCAGTTGGTTTTGTTTGGTTTGTTTTAGAAAAACAGACAAAAAAAAGGCAAGCAGAAACTGATGCTTTCTCCATGTGAATATACCAAACACTGTTTTCAGAAATTCCTCATTTACAAGTTAAGAGGAGACTACAATACTTGATAGATATCAAGATACCTACTCCTCATCAGTTTCAGTAATTTCCTTTTTTTAAAATCTGATTTCTTACTTTGGCCTCCACAATATTTGAGGAATCAAGTTCTCCAATTTTACTACGCATTGCATGAAATAGTATTTCTCACATTTGAATTGAGCCATCAGGTCAAAACAGTGGCGATGAACCATTTTCTAGCATAAAGTAAAAAAAATAATAAAATAATAATTAAAAAATCAGAATACGCATCTTAATAATACACTATAAAAGTGGTGTATATGCATTTTTATATTATGCTTAAAAAAACCCAATTTTTAAAACTATGTCTCAAAACTATTTATAGTAAATGAACTTTCTAGATTTTAGATTGATACATCGAACTTCCTCACAAATATGCCTTAGAATTGGAAGAACAAAAGTACACTTAAGCAACTAGAGAAACAAGCAACTTCTGTGTTACCACTATGGATAAATATTTCTGTAGCAGCACAAAAAAACCAGGTAGCAAAGTATACACTATTATAACATAACTGGCAGACCTTTTCTGGTTTTCTTTTTAACCTTCCTGGCTTTAGGTTTCTGTTTATCCATGCTTTCCTTGAGTGTCTGTCCTTCCGATGTAAATAGTCTTTCGGGTGACTGACTTTCATTGCCATCTTTTTCCGGATGATGCTGCAGCTCAGAAATGGACATTGCACTGCAAAGTAATGAATTACTATCAGGGCAATTGCACTCCACTGCATACACTGATACAATTACTCATTACCATTACCAATCCACTTGGAATTCTGCAACTTATCATCTGTTTATGCTGAAAATGCAACACTCCTCACCCCCCACATTAGTGTCTTGCCTTTCTCACTGCTCTCCCTCCTTCACCTCCCCCTAATTTCCACACAATTGCAGAACCGCTCATGTGACTAGAGCTAAGCTAATGCTCTTCTGTTTGATCAGGGCCATCACTTGCCACAAAAAAAAATAAAATCATGCATAAAATTATCTTCAGTTACTTAAGAGCAAGTTCCACAGAAAACACAGATCAAATAGCAATGGAGGACATAAAAAAAAAAAAAGTTAAAAACAATCTGTGAGCTAAACATTAATCATGACAGAATTTTGAAAAAGTATCTGGTAATAATTTTCCATGACAGATTCATCCAATTAATCACTTAGGAAATACGAACAATTTATCAGAAAGCTTCTGTCTATCTTAAAACAAAATGAAACATTTTGCTTAAGATTCACAGACACACAGTGTACAGTTTATCATGATACCTTGTTTCAGCTTCACTTAAAACTGCTATTTCTTTCTTCTTTTTTTTCTTTTTGCCCACTTCATTGTTCAATGCAACTTCATGGCTTTGAACTGTGGATGTAGATTCAGACATCTGTTCTTTAAGTTTCTTTCTCATTTTCTTTTTAATTGCATTTGCCTCATCCTCAGCCACATGCAGTTGATAGGCTTGAATTAGCTGCTCTTCCTCTTCTAATTCAGTTACATTTCTCACTTCAGTCAAGGAATTTTTAATCTTTCTACCTGCTTCTTGAGGAAGTACATCTGTTTGTGATTTACTTCTTGTTTTCTTCTTTGGAAAATCATTAGTCTTTTTTTCAAAACTCCCCAATTTAGCTTCATATAAATCTTCCTCCTCATTAAATTGTTCTTGTAACAGTGATTTCTTTTTCTTCCTGTTTGACTTTGGTTGCTTTTTCTTCTCTCCACTAACAATATCATTGTTTATTTTCTCTGCAATTGATGCTTTCTCTCTCAATTTATTTTTTGTAAATCGTGGACTCTCCTCTTCAGGATTATATGTGTTGTTTATAATTGCTTCATCATTCACACTTTCCTTAGATAGATCAATTTTATTTCTAAAGGTATCAAGCTATAAACGAAAAGAACATAAAACACATTTGTACTAAAAATCATGTTCTAAAGATAAATGAAGCACTTCATGTTATTCCTTCAGCAATCTTACACAAAGTAAAATGTAATCAAAGATTTAGTTATTTTCTTGTTTTGATTTTAGAAGTGACAGATTGAAAGTCAACAGAAAATTCACATTGGAAAAAAACATTTGGTGTTTGGTCACCTGATCCTCAATGCTTCACTATGTTTTTAAATAACTTTTATGTAGACCCAGTAAAAAAAGAAATCAAGTCTACTCCATAAACAGATGCCAATGTTTACACTATGGAAGACTTGCAGACTACATGAAGCACAAAATCAAATATTTTTTCCATTGAAAATGCAAGTTAAGAGACAGACTTCTAGCTCAGATGTTTTGCTTCTCAAAATTTATCAATGAAATCATATTAAGAAGGGCTAAAACGGAAAAACAGACTTCCATTAAGACTTCTAAAAAAACCCAAACCAATATAAGTTGAAAAAAAAAAACCACAACAAAAACTCACCCCACATTATTCTTAGTGGAATGGCAGAGAGTTAATCTAGAGAACAGTCTTGTAAAAACAGCAAAGATGAATTTCAGCTAATGCATTTGCCTGTGCACCACTTCTAATTCTTGGAGGTTTTACAGAAAACACATTGTAAACTTTCCTCTTCCCTTCAAGTTTCTATTCCGGGTTACTAAAGGTAATAATGCTACCTCCCTTGGATGGGAAGGAGATCTAAGCAACCTGATATAGTTGAAAATGTTCCTGATCATGGCAGAGGGCTTGGACTAGATGACCTTTAAAAGTCCCTTTCAATCCAAACTATGATTCTGTGATATCACCAAAGAACGCAGCAAGTAACTGTCTAATTCTGTAAGGAGGTCAACACACAGACCTCTGATCCTCGACAAAACTTCTATAAAGTTGCTGAGGTTCATTTAGTCTGTTGTCTTCCAGAAAAATCCCTTAGAGACTCATCATGAAACATCAGAAAGGACTTTAAAAACCAATGAAAGCAAATTAAAAATAAAAAAGTTTGGAGAAAATATATGTATATGCATACAATCTTTTATTTGACAAGACTCTCTTCCTCAATAAACACAGACACTGTCCCTTTCTAGTTGGGATACTTCTCCAAGTTACAGAATCACGTTTGCCTCAAATATTTGTAAAGAGGGACAATATGTATAATAAGTGATACAAGCTTATAAGAAGAAAACACAGAGAATGAAGTTGCAATGGCAATCATGCTTTGGAGGATAGATCCTGACTTAAAAATGCCCACCTGTGAGAACAGTATTCTATGACTAGAAAGAAGAGAATACCCAATGTGCAAACCATCTACCTTCATATTCTAGGCCCTTAATTATGTGAGCCTGCAAACCTTCCTCACTATCTTGTTTTATTCACATCTGACACTTGGAGAGAGAACTTGGTGAGCAAGGAAAATATTACAAGAACTGAAAAAGGAGAATGAAGGAAAAAGAAAGGCAAATTTGAAGTATGTGAGTAAAAGCACAAGAAAAAAAACCAAGGAAGTTTACTATTTGTATGAGAAAATCGACAAATGAAAGCAGTGCGACAAGAAAAATACACAAAGACAAAATTTAACACATAAGTAAAAGTTGACATCTGAAACTATAGACAACTAGAGACCTAAAAATGCAATAACGACTTATTAATGTTAATCATTAAACAACACTCCACAAATAAAGCATAAATTTAACAAAAAAAGCACCCAGAATGTCATGCTAGTATGCTTATCTAAGACATCATAAAATCTAAAGCCATTCATATATCTTTTCATTAGGTATCTTTATTTTTAGCTCATATGTCTAAAAATAGTTTAAACACCAAATAATGAAAAAACTGTCCTTGTATCTTCATCTTATACTTGCTTAAACAAAGCAGTAACATCATATTTATTCATAAATCAGTGTTTCAAGAAGATGTGGAAAATCACATATGGATAACTTGAAATACAGAACAGAGTAAGGGAAAGAAAACAATTAAAGCATCAAGCTTGGTATAAACTAAAACAAACAAACAAACCAGAAACAAAAACTTCTAATAAATAGTTTACTTCCTTACCTTTGTTTCTATGAATGGCTTTAACTGCAGAGTATGAGGAATGAAGATTAAAACACACCAACAATTAAGACCCAACAGTGGCCAATAGCTGAGGTCACGCTTTGCCTTTGACAGAACATTAATCCATTAAGCCCAAGAAGTTTCTAAAACAACTGTGATATTCAAGAATCATTTCCTTAAAGAAATCTAGCAAAAACTGGCTTGAAATATTTACTAGAACTTGTCATTTATTATGCCTACAAACAAAAACCATAGATGATAGAATCTTTAAGGTTGGAAAAAACCACTAAGATCATTAAGTCCAACTGTTAATCCAGTACCACTGTGTTCACCATTAAACCATGTCCCCAAGTGCCGCATCCACACGCCTTTTGAGTGCTTCCAGGAATGGGGACTCAACCACTTCCCTGGACAGCCTGTTCCAATGACTGACCACTCTTTCAGCGAAGAAGCTTTTCCTCATATGCAATCTACCTCCTTTCAGGTGGTTGTAGAGAGTGATAAGGTCCCCCCTAAGCCTTCTTTTCACCAGGTTAAACAACTCCAGCTCCCTCAACTGCTCCTCATAAGACAGGTCCTCCAGACCCTTCACCAGTGTCACTGCCCTTCTTTGGATACACTCCAGCCCCTCAATGTGTTTCTTGTAGTGAGAAGGAACAAAACATACATACACAAATATGTGTCACAACTAGTAAGCACACAATTATAGCAAATTTACTTATAGGAAAAAAAAACACCACAGATTATCCTTGTAATGAAAAAAAAAACACAGTCTCAAACTACAGCAAATTCCTAGCACATTTATGGATACTGCAGGCAGCACAAAGCTGCTTCCACAGTTCAAACACAAATTCCTCAGATACACAGCCTGTATGATCTTAATTCAGGCCACTTTTTCCACATGTTGTAGTTATATGATGTAATTAAATAGAGAGGAAAGATGCAAAGGAGTCACAAAACAATAAAGTAAAAGCCACCAGATTAGGACTCAGGCAAAGGCAGGGATACTGGTATAGATTCTCTGACTGAAATGCAGGACTGAGAAATACCAACTAAGAGCAATTGTCAATACATAAACACACTTAAACTGAGTTAGAGAAAGCAGTTAGGCTGGAAAAGCAGCTCAGAGAATCGACCCTCTGGAGTTAACTCCAGAGACAGGCCTCTGACCTGAACATGACTTCAGCTTAAAATCTGGAACAAATAAGAAGGCTTTTTTTCAAAACAGCTCCATGGTTACATTACAACACCAGGGCAGAGGAAACACTCTTTCCTGAAAACAGACTTGCTTGCACTTCTGGCTTGATAGGAGAGAGAGATGGGCGCCAGCCAAGATGCAAGCAGGTGGGCTAACACTCAAGGCTCATATCACAATGAGCCAACCTCAGGTCACATCACTCGCCATTTGTGTCCCAGAGCTGACAGAAGGGACAACACCTAATAATCTTACGCCTTTTTAAAAAGGCTTCTCAAATATGCATGAGTGGAAGCTGGCAACATATCAAGTGAGTTTGTCACGAGTATCTGGAAACTCACATAACCAGATTTACAAAGGTACCTGAACTTCTTCCCCTAACACAGGCACACCTTGAAAATTAGGGGTGGACACTGCCAGCCCATTGAAGCGCTGATATGTACCAGTTGTAAAAGACCATTTACTTACAACTGAATTGGTAACGAATGTACTTGTGATGCTGATTTGTTGAGTTTAAGAAAATCTTCATGTGCTAGGAAACCAATTTTACTGCCATTGCTCATAGAAGACTATAAAATGTAGACACACTAAGCTAAAAGACCTTTAATTTACAGATAAGATGGGCTTGGACAAGTTTCACCAAATTCTAACAAAAAACATTGAGAAAACGTGTAGGTACATTATACAATCAACTATTAGCAGTTCTATTATTTTAAACACAAGAAACAAAGAAACATAGGAAACAAAGCAGAAACAAACAAGAAACACAAGAAACAAATGGATAAAACCCAGCAGAAATCTCCATAATTATTCAGTGTCTGTCAGCATATCCAAAAAAAGCAGAACCTGGGAAAATTCTACAACCTTAAAGCTCTGCAGGTTTTACACCTGAGACAGATGCTAAAGTACTGAATTGGTCAGAAGAAACCTGTAAAACCACCATCTTACCCAAAAGAATACAATAATTGTCAAGCCTGAAGATGGACTCCTACTATCTGTACCCACACGAAATTCCAGACTCCAGCCTGTCATTCAGGGTCTTATGAAGAAAGAGAAGGAGCAGGTTCAGTGAAGCAGGAAATATAAAGCTTCAAACAGGTAAATCTGTTGCAGTCCTGCCTTGAATATAAAACCTTAGTATCAATGTACGCCCACCCCACGCCCACTACAGTCTAGGAAAGAAATTTTTGCCTCCATTATGGGACCTTGCTTTTCATCTGGTAGAAAAATTCACTTATGTTTTCAGAGTTAAACATGCTCTTTTCTACCATAAAATTTAGATTAAACCAAATAAACTTAATTTTCCTGCTGACCTTAGACAGATTAAAATAGCTTGCCTCATTCTAACAACTTGTAAGAGGAGGAACAACTAGTAAAAAAAATTATGGTGACTGTTTGCCCTAGAAAAGATACTAGCAAATTCACTTTCTGAGTGTGTCTCAATTGCTTGTATCTTCAGCCATGCCTTTAGGCTTCACACCACTGCCCCTGTGGCTACTGAACAGCAAAACAGAGCTTTCACTGGCCACAGCTGATGCCTATTTCCATCTCCATTACAAGCCCCTCATTCCTATTAGTTGTGACTTCAAACTCATCCTGCCCTACAGACATCAACCTTTCCTCTTCCAACCAGGCTGTTTCCCTTCTCCCTAAGCAGGGTCTCCAGGCAATGGGCACACAGAGCAGCACAGGCAAGCGGGCAGGCAATCTCCTTATCCTCAATTCTGTCATTTAAAACCACAGCAACCTCCTGCAGCTCCAGAACTCAGATTTCAAAGAAACAGTGGACTACGAGGGAAAAGGTTTTATTAATCTAAGAAAGGCTAGAGCAAAGACAAAGGAAGGAAGCAGACTGGTACATTTCCAGTTGAAATATACTCTCAACCATGACCCGTTTCTGATCAAACCTAGGATACCATTTATAGCAAGTGCGTGACACAAAGCCAACCATCACTGACAAATTTCACATTATTTCAAGATATGTGAAACTCTATATAGTTAAATCATATGAACTGAAGAAAACGGGAACAAAACCAGCAAACCTCCTCCATCTACCTCCTCCTCCCTCCACTCCCACACACATTTATTTCTTACAGAGAAATGACTGTTTATTTGCTGAAGCTTTTACAGAAACTTCTACTTGAAAGCAACCAGCATGGAAAATACCAGCCTGAGCTCTTGCAACTTTGCCACACTTTAAGGAAAGTTCTTGGTTTTTAATTGCTTTGATTGGTAAAAATCTAGTTTCAACAAAGCTATAAAGTTAGGTGTCACATTGATCCTAAAAATGCTTCCTAATTTGCTTGCATACCACTAATTTTGATTCAGGTCATTGTGATTTTAAGTGTTTCTAGGCAACTCCAAAACACTAGTGTTTTATGTCAGAGACTTCTGGAATGGAAACCAAATTTAAAACCAAAGTAAGTGTAAAATATTTATGAGTAATATCTATTTGCATATGAACACATAATTATGTACTTAAAAATACTTAAAAATAACAATTAAAAATTCACATTTCATAAAGAAGGTTAATCTAACTGAGGAAGAATTTAGTCCTGTATTTAGACAAATGCCAGCAAAAAAGGAAAAAACCCACCCTTGAACTCTCTGTGATATATTTTAGACATCATGTTAATTCTTTGTATAGACTATTGACTAAATACAATATATTTCAAGGAACATAAATTAAAAAAATCCACACAAAATTAAACTTCAAATTGCCAATATAAGACAAAATAGCAATACTAAGTTTAATATAACTATTCTGAATATATTTAATATATATAATAAACACAGGTAACATTTTGATATTACACAAAATACCGCTTCTTTGTCTTAAATGAATATTAAAGAAGGAACATTCATTTCCAGCACCTGATAAGGATATTGCAAGAAAAAATACTTAAAACATAAAAACTAACAAGCGGGAAGTAGAAAAACAGAACATTTGTCTCTTAAGCAAATTGGTTTCTTTTTAAATTCCAAATCTTCTAAGTCAATAATCAGGTATATATAGGACTCATATTAGACATTTATTCTCCTGTTCAGGAAAAAGACTAGAATCTGAACCATAATTCAGAGGAATTTCTGAGGCTGTTTTAATGACAGATATGCCACAAACAAAAATGTCATTTAACCATAAAGTCAGGGTGATAAAATCCTTTCTAATAGGCAAGTCACAAGCTAAGGTCAAAATCTTTAAAAAAAGTTGACATGTGAACACAGGACCACTTAGACACAAAGCTCAGCACATGCAGAAATATTCTGATCACTGACATCAAATTAAAAAAAAAAAAAAAGTAGAAAATTGAATAAAGTTAATTATTATCTCTAATATTATTACAATTTCTCATCAGTTTTCAATTCACAGCTGTATTAGATGGACATGCTTGTATTACACAGATGTAGGACTCTCAAAATCAAATACTTTTAAAGCCATAATTCTGCTAGCCCTCAAATATCTAATTAACTCCAAGTAAAGTCAATACTGAATTTGAAAATATTAAAAATTTTAGAAAAAATGTGAATTGAAAACAAAGTACCAGCGGGCATTAGGTAAATGTATGCCTGCATGTGCCACTTTCTTTTTACCAGTACTATAGTCAATACCTCCAAATTACAAGGATGCATTGATGATACACAAACAACAAATAAAAGTCACATAAAAAATAAGGGATACGTGCAGAAACATAATTTATACTTAATTTTTTTTTTAATGTTTACAGCTCCTTTCTACAGTACATTTTCCTGATCTTTTTTCCATTATGGAAGGCAATCAAACAAAACTTACATGTGTTCTAACTCACCACAATACTCTCTGGAGAGTCAAACTTCTTTTTCTTTGATTTCTTTGCATCTGTTAGGCCTGCATGGCGTCTGAAGATTTCCTCAAAGCGGACTTTGGTTTTTGCCTTTGCTTCACTTTCAACTGCAAAAAGAAATCTAGAGTATGATTCACTGTCTCAATAATCACTATTGCTAAAAAAGTGCACAATCATGATTTAAAATTGCAAAGGATGAGAATTATTTATCAGGGAAAGTTTACCAAAAAATTCACTTAGTATTCAGTTAAGAAAAAGACTGTTGAATCCTCAGCTACAGTATATTTATCATTGCCATTACAATTTTTTAAGAGTCCCCAAGTTTAAAATAAAAAAACCCCAAAACTTCAAAAATCAACTATAATCACGCATTCAAAAAGAAGCCAATGCAGCATTAAAGATTTATATAAGACAGAAGTAACTTCTATCATTTGCATCCAGTTCTAACTATAAAATATGTACTGGAAATCAAACACAAAGTATTCTTACCTGCTGGCATTTTCAGTCCTCAGTTAGAAGTGGCTCAAAACACCAGCTGCCTCTTCCTCAGAATTCACAGTTCTATTTAAAGTAATTAACAATTTTCATTAACATAACTGGTCCACAGACTTGAAGCTAACAATTGAATGTGTGCTGATTAATATTGAGTACAGCTCAGGATTCTCAGCATCTGATACTTATTATTTGAGAGTAAATAAATAACACTACAATTCGCAATAGCCACATAATTCAGCACTATAGTCCTACAATCTTCTAAAAAACCCAACAGTTTATTTAAATAATAATGACCCACAAAGCCATTTATATTGAAGCCTTTCTAATCAGGTTCCTATCCTGACAGCATCATTGAGGAAGTCACATTGTAGTCAGTTCATAACTTCCAAAGCAAAGATTAGTATCTGCCAGCAAATCTAACTTTACTACAAATCTCTAAATATTTATGTTTTCACAAAGCATTTGTATTTTTCACAAAACAGAGAAGCAATTACATGAAACTCATTTCTCTAAAGAGAAAAATGTTAGGCCCTACTGGTTGTGGAGAAAAGCCTACAAATGCAATCCAAAAAAAGCTCGAAGGCAAGAAAAAATATTACACAGCTTTATCTTTTCATCAAGAAAATTCAGAATGTTTTACAAAAAACTTTAATACAAAAAGCTGTTTTATAAACAGCAGAACTAATGAAACCTAGATTTCTGAAGGTGTTATATTCCCCTTAGCCTTCCAGACAACAAACTATTGTACCTATCTCCCTGACACCCCATCCAGCAATAGCTCCAAGTTCTCCCTAGGCAACGTGTCCTGTTAAACACCAGGAACTCAAATTGAATAGACACCCAGACTACATCAATCCTAACAAATTAAGACATAGCATTAAATACTGCCAGGATATGGTTGCATTACTCTTGCCCCACTTTGGTCCAAGCCACCGAACACTCACTATATAGAGGTTAGGAGTTATTATGGATTATTATTAATAGGTGGTTCGCATGTAGCCACTCTGACTTGAGGCTGAGAGAGTTTAACAGCAGTAAAGTGAGCCAAACATACCACAGGGCCTCAACATGCACTCCTGGGCACACACATCTTATACCAGCAGAGGGAAGAGCTGAGGCTATATTGGGTCCCCAAGAATCTGCACCACCGTACCCTCAGATCCCTCTCATCTTTCTTTCACAGTGTTACTTGCACAGGCTACATACCTTAAAGTCATTCCACACTTGTTACTTAGCGTACTGTGGCCTGCTGGATAGCCAAACCAAACCAAATTAAGAAAAAAAAAAAAAGCAAGAAGTGTTCAGGTTGGTTTGGGATTATAGAAGTGCTGATTAGTCAGAAAAGTAAGGTGTCATTACTTTACTTTATATCTTAAGCAAAGCATTTACATTAAGTATCCAGCATTCTAAGGATGTTTGAAATGAGCAAGGATGGTGTGGTGGTCCCAGAAGGGACCTTATTGGAAGCAAAAAAAAAGTTTAGTTCTATGTTTCACTATGACACTCATGAGGTTGCAATATTTTCACTCACTGAAACATGTTTTGACTCGCAAAGCAAAGCTTTACTGTCACAACTAAACCAGTAACAATTAAAAGCAACACTTATTACAAGAAATGCTACCAGAAAACACCACTGGAAAATAAAACTGCTTTTGCAATTTATACTTAGTAACATCAAATGGGCATTTTAAAAGTACTACAGTTATTAAGTGCTGCTTTTCAAGTAGTCAATTCCCAATTGTCTAGAAAACTCCTATAATTTAGAAAAGTAGAAAACTAGACGTGTTTATAAAATACAGCAGATTCTATCACTTTAATCATTCACTGAGGACCACAGGAACATGGAAAAGTCTCTTATGATTAGTTGAGTGATTACAATCAGCCCTTGAAAACTAATTACAAACAAATGAAATGCTAAAGGGCTCTTAAAACAAAAAATGAGAGATAATATAGAACACAAAAGCAAAATGAGTAAAGTACATACCTGTTCCAAGTATAAAAATAATTTTATGGTCAAAGGTTAAATAAATCAGACCACAAAAAGACCCCCAAAACCCAACCTAGAGGTAAATTAATTTTGCAGATACATCACAATGAAACAAACACCTTTCCAGAGGGCAGGCTCACCTCACAGCTACCATCATTCTGCCTATTTATTCAGTAATTGTCTATCCTCTTGTGGCAACAAAATTGAGACAAAGTCCTCTTGATAGTGCTATTATTTAATATACGTTTCCAATTTAGAATTTCATGACTTTTTACATGGTGCATTAAAGCAACTATTAGACTTGCGTAAATACAGATCATTAATCAACAGGGGTAAGATCAAGGCTGTTTACTTAGTGTAATCTCACCTTGAAATAGGACAGATTTAATGGTATATCAAAGTTCAGCAACCACAGTGCCCCAAGCTGAATAAATTCAGTTATCATCAATTTTGTAAAATGCATTTTTGCCTAATTAGATTGGATCTCTTCCATGTTAGAAAATACAAGACAATTCAGGAATGACAAAAATACATACCTGGAACAGTGGCATATTCCAGCCACCATGAATAACCAGAGAAACAAATTAATGAAGTCCAAACTTTCAAGAATTACTATACACTTTTCCAAAAATCACCTAGTTTGCTCTTTTCTAACATTACATGTACATATATACATATATATTTATATCTAAAAATGCATATAGAATGTATTTATAAAAGTGATTGTGCATTAAATTCTTGCTCTTCTCACAATATTTTGCAATACTAAGTTCCTATATTCTACATCTGTAATATAGGAATTCTCTGTGCTAAACATGCCCAAAAGGCCACCATTCACAAAACCCACTTTTATTGGTCACTAAAAAAAGATATAAATCAAACCTATACTATAATGAGCAGAACGTACAGAATCTGTACTACATATTGCTAAGTGACAAACTTCCTACCCAATTAGGACCATTTAGGAAACTGAGTTGACAAAATATAATTGCATACCTCAGGATTTTCCTAAACTAAAATCCTCAACTTTTCTTTTGTCACAGAAAGTGAGTGTAAACTTCAGTGGCTGAAAACAAGTAGAACATCAGGCCTTGTTTACTTATCTTTTAGATCATAATTAGAAATCTTACGTTTTACTAGTAGGTTTCTAATGCTGCTACCTGTACGTATCACTACTTTGAATCTGAAAGAATTTCAACTCAGAATTATAGAGCAAAATAACACCAAACTGAATCTGTTTCTCTTCACCATTGATAAATGTGACATCAAAAAACAACCTGGTTTTAGTAAAGAAAATTTAATATTTAAGTCCAGAAAACTGACAGACAGCTTTATTATTATCATGTAAACATCTGTGTACTTGCATATCAATAAACACTACCACCAGAAGTGCAGTAGCCTTCTTCCAGTTCAGATGTGCCTGTAAAAACCTTGTGTTCAAACTAGCTTAAAAAGATGTTTTATAAAGCTGGTGCTACTCTCAGTTTTCTAGTAGTATCAGAAAGCTTCAGCTTTAGAGGAAGTGTTGGGATGGGTATTTTTCCCCCAGAAATTTGGTAGCTTTAGTCAAGAGAAAGTTGCAAACAGACTCGGTCTGCTCTGATAACAAAACTATGGACTTCAGTTCTATGCAAGGAAATATAGCTGACTTCTACTGTTTATTAAAGTCTCTGCCTTATCTGATAACTATGAAAATGCTTTCTCACCAAGTATTTTAATTTCCAATGCAGCATGTTGCTTTGCCTAGAAGAACAGTGGTAGATAAAACAGCTATAAATGAAAATTCACAACACGCACCACCACTGGATTAACCAATGGAATTATTTAATGAGCATGTGATGTGAAGATGCACATTCCTCATGGGAGGGAGGCATCCCCGCTTTGGAGCTCAACGTGCCAGGCACGGAGCAGCACTGTGTGTTCACGTGCCGCGGGATATAAACTAACCACGCAGTGTTACCCGGGTGAACTACAAAGCCTGTAAAGACGAGGGGGGGGAAATAATACTGCTCAAGGGATTACGGCTTCCCGCGGCACTGCTTCGTGCCACCACGCTGCGCCGAGACCGGCAGGCAACAGGTCTCCCTAGGCCGCCTGCCCCGACAGTCAACCCGCGGGGTTACCCTGAGCAACCACGGCGTTCGAAGGAGCGGGACGCGCTCCCACTGCTTCCCGAAGCGCGCCGAGGCCTCCCACGCATCCCCGCGCTACCGGCCCGCGCTGGCCGCCGCCCAACCCGCTCCCAGCTCCTGCTCCCAGCTCCTGCTCCCCGCCCGCGCCAACCTCCCCGCCACGGCGCGCCTGTGGCTGAGCCCCCCGCCCCGCGGCGCGCCGAGGAGCCGGGGGAGGGCCCAGCGGAGGGGAGGCGGGACCCAGCCCCACCCGCCCTGGGGGGCGCGCACCGGGGCGAGCGGCGGCACGCGCCCGGCGGGACCCCGGCCGCGCGCAGCCTCCCCTTGCCTGGGGCGCGGCCCCGCTGCCCCCGCGGACATCACTCACGTCGGTCCCGTCCGCTCCCGAGGCAGCAGCTGCGGGTGCCCCGCCTTCCCCCCCGCCAGTGAGCTCACTCCCGGTCCCCCCTCCGCAGCCCCGCGCGGGTGGTTCTGTCCAAAACAACCACAGCTTCCAAGGAAACGGCGCAGGCGCGTAGGGAAGCGGGGCGAGGAGGAGCGGGCGCGCCAGTGGCTGTGTCGCTTGGGGCCGCGGAGGGCAGCGCTCCCCGCGGCGGAGACGGGGCTGTTGAGGGTTGTTAGGGTTGTTTTGTTGTGTTTTACTCAACAAAATCGCGGTGCTTGGCTGAGTGGTACCGTCCTCTGAGTTCCGGGTCTGTTCACAGTGGTGTTTGCCTCTCATGCGTCATGAGTTGGTTACGAAAACCTGTCTGGAAACGCGAGGTTGGAATTTAATTAAAAAAAAAAAAAAGAGAGAGAAAGACTGTGAAAAGCATTAGAACCGGGAACGGTCTCGGGGATACCTTATGGTCCACTGGAAAAATGCGTCAGAAGTCCATAATAGCACTCTTGAGTTCACACTAACAGAAGTTGCTTGCGGCAGAATGAAGTCTCAGGGTAACGAGCTCTATTGGAGTCAGGAGGGCGTCTGTCAAGTGTTTGAAATGGATATCAGCTTTTTGCAAAGGGCAGCACGAGTGAATGTCCTTAAGCTATGCAGATACTGGAGAAACTTTTATTTTTGTCTGATTTAGTAGCTAACTTAAGCAGTGTTGGGTTTGGGTTTTTTTTTCCTCTTAGGAGTAATAACTCATTACTGGAATGAAAGAAATCTGTGTTAATTTCTTCTGTGTAAAATCTGATTAAAACTGTAGATCATTCCTTCGTGCACTAGAGAGTTTGAGAAATTAATGAAAGGTTTTGAATGAATGTGGTCAGATCTTTTCAGAAGCAAAGTTGGGTAAAATTAGCCTTTGGTTGACAGTGAGCAGTTTTTACTACCTAGAGGTGAGCTATTGCTTGTGATTCTATGGTTGTGACGTAGTTCCCGTAGCGTCTTTCAGATTCTGTGAATGAATTTACACTGGCTGCCAAAAGAATGCACATACTGAAACCTTGCTTCCTTATTTCTCAGGTGTTACTAGTGACAGATGCTGTTGTCTCTGGTACTTACTTGTCCTTTTCTTTCTCAAATGCTTGCATGCATTCATGTGATAGGTAGGGGTATTTCTTTTTTCATATGGCAGGTGTCCTGGGTTGCCTTGGCATAATACAAACAAAAACCAACTCCTCAGAATTTCTCGCGCTTCTTTTTTATCCTTGGTGTATCTGCATTCTTGTAGGTCTCCATCCTTGGTAGTACCCTGAAAGTCCATTAAATAATGGCTTTGAACAACCTGATTTCACTTTAAGGTTGGCCTTATATTGAACAGGACCAGAAATCCAGATGTTACTTCCTAGGTTGTATGGTTGTGACATTATTTGTTATGTCTATATTTGATGTATAATTAGATGACAGTTCTAGTGCTAGTTTTCACAGTAGCCAAGACACTTCAAACGGTCTCAGGGTTAGTCATAAGTTAAACATCCTAATCAAAGGCCACGCTGTATGTCTGTAACCTAGCAGGTTCAGAAAAATTCTAATCCAAATCCTAGCCCCAACTTCCAATGTAGACGAAATGACAAAATGGTTCCCCAAGAGAATAGTAATTTATTGATTATTGTGATATGTTACCTCTGTTTGATAAGCCTTATGTTACATCCACAAATTGTTTAGGATGCAGCAGAAAAGCTACCTCTTCAATGTTTTCGTTTGTAAACATCAGTACCAATCCTGACAACACCAGTACAGTCAATCACAGAATCACAGAATATTCTGAGCTGGAATGGACCCACAAGGATCATCGGGTCCAACTCTTAAGTGAATGGTCAAGAAACAGATAAGGTTTATACCTAACTTGTCAGCCACGATCTGACAAGTTGTACTAAAAACTAGACATTTTCTTGAGAATCTGTTACAGGACAATGACTGTGAAGACAGGCTCCAAAAAGCTTTCAGTACACTAGCTTGCACAGTAACCTGAGAGCTCCCTTGCACAGTTTTGCAGTTATGTCGTTGTAAGGGACGGTTAATGATTTACACATTCTGAGATCACCAAAAGACTTTTGCAAACTGAAAAGAAGCCGCTGCTCACCCAGCAAAGCCCCGCCCCCCCCCGCCCCTTTCTGGGTTGGGTTGCAATACTGGTATAATATGCATAAGCACTGTTCCTCCTCAGCAAACGCAAACCTACATACTGTGCATGTACACAGATATTCTAGCACAGTCTCCAGTGCTGTCTCAATGAACTCTTCATCATGATTAAAGTTGGGACAGCAGGAACTGTAGAATATATTGCTCGGTATGGCAAACCAATGTGGAGAGCAAGGCAGGTTGAAATGAAAAGTGACTCATGGTAAATTCTGAAGAGTGCTGTTATCCTTGAAATTACGCTTCCTCTGAGGATTAGGATTGGAGTTAAATAAGAAGGATGAAGATGTGGATTGGTGTCCACCATTTAAAGCCTCAGGGTATGTAGGGTTGTAATTCTTAGATGGTAAATGTTGAGACTATTGCCAGATGACTTTTCTGAGAGCAAGACTGAAGAAAGATCCTACTTTTTCAAATCTGTTAAAATGTAAGATCCCAGAACTCCCCCAGAGTTTCGATAAATGCTGAGCCTGGCAGAGTGAGTGGCTGTCCTGGCTCAGGCTAGGACAGGGGTAGTTTTTGCAGTAGGCAGGAGGGGACATGGCTAGGACCCAGAGGTTATTCTGTACCACCTCACATCATTGCTGGGGGAGGGGGAAAAGGGACTCTTCTTCCAGGGAGAAGGGGTCCCTTCTGGCCAAGCAAGGCCAGGGTGGACATAATTGTGTTTTAATGTTGATCCTAAGCCAGAGGGAGCAGTCAGGGTGGAGTGGCTGTGCTCAAGTCAAGCTCTGCACTCTCTCTTTTGTACACTTTTGTTATTAATATTATTCCTCTTACTGTTCATTTTATTATCTCATTGCTGTTTCCAGTAAATTTTTTTTACCTCAACCTGTGATCTTTGCCTTTTGTGCCTCCAATTCTCCAATCTGCTGCAGCAGGGAGGGGGAGGGAAAAGCAGGGGAAGGATTGACTGAGCTTTGTGTGGTTTTGCACTTTCAGTGGGAACAGTAAATTGGGGAGTACCATTCCTAAACCACAACAGTGGCCTATGACAGCTGGGAGGGCTCAGTTATGCTTAAAAAACCAGTCATTTTTAATCACTGACATAGAAAGCAGATTTTGATGTCTGATATTTGATCTGTCAGCAGTAGTAATGGGCTACAAAGCCTTCTAAATAAACTTGGCACTAGACATCAACAGGTTTTCCTATTACTTGTACAAACTTATGTCAAGTGTCCAGGAACACTTGTTTCATGAGAATGTCTTAATGAGTTCTGTGGCCACTACACCTATGAAAAATGCAAGGTATTTGTTGTGCACTCTATGTTCTATAAGCAAGTAGTGGTCAGGCCCATTTTCCATGTCAGAGGAGAATACATCTCACCTCTTCAGCTGACTTGTTTAGTTGGATTCTTTGGGCTATAGGCAGATGAAAACACTGCAGCTCTTATTCATAAAGAATAGATTCTGTGATAAAACCAATAAGTCTATGTTATATTTGGTACCTTCATCCTGGGACAGTTAAAAATCACTGTTCTGGAGTTAAGAATGTTCCAGATAGAAAGCTACTGTAAGCCAAGGTTTAATGTGCTGATCTAAACAAGACTTTTCCCCCTATGCTACTTCTTATGAGGTCCTATGTCATCAGTTCTTCTGATCTACTTCTTATGAGGTCCTATGTCATCAGTTCTTCTGATCTACTTTACATAGTGCATAACCTGATCTGCTGATATTAAGCAGTTCTTAACGTTGCTAATAACACTTTCATTACATCTGAAGATGTTGCAATATGTATTCCAATGTCAGTGTCATGGATCTATTTTTTTTCCATTTTCTGAAAATTTTTTTGCAATATTTGAACTTCACTCATTATTACAAAGGGAGTAGAAGTCAGTAGCAGTACCTAAGAAATCCAGCCTGGCAACCTGTACAGCACCCAGAATAATAGAATGAGTTTTGTCTATACTTTGATAGCCTGTGGAACAGACCAAAGAAAAGAAAGCACACTCCAAACACAACACATCCTGCCCAAATGCATAGACACGTGTGCAGTTCTTATTCTGCTAGAAGGAGGAAAGTAAGGTTTTTGAAAAAGTTAGAACAGCAATTATGTATGCATGGAGTTTTCAATGGATTAAAAAGCATGTGCTCACTGTGTTCACCTGATTTTTCAGTTGCGGGGGGCTTGCATAGAAAAATGTTTCCCATTATCTTACATTTGGTCTGTGTAGGAAATAGAAGTGATGGCTTACTGTAGTGTACAGATAGAAAGTTTGTTGATATCAGATATATTCTGAAAATCTTGCAGAAATTTCAGAATGATGAAGAATGGATCAATGTTCTTATCAGAGCCTAACTTTATAGCAAAAGGGTAGAATCTGTCACATGCAGGGACAACCTCTAGGTGTCACTTCGGTGTACAAAATAGAAACAAGATTTGCAGTTGGGTAACAGCTCTAAAGATGCAGTGGTATTTGGCAGAAGTTAGTTGTTTAACTGATCAGTGCGTTTTTTTTCTCTTGATAGCAAAAAGTAATTGAGTTTCTGATATTGGGTATTCAAAGCAAACAGTCTGATT